GTTCACTCCCAGGAAGACAACTACAGCAACCGATGAGGACAAGTACGATATGCGGATGTCGTCTCGGTAACAGTGTGTCGGCAGGTGCTGATTCGGATGAGCTCGGTCCCTACCCACCGTGGTTCAGCAACTGATATTGTGCGGTAGCTATATGTACGTGTGCATGAATGCGCATGTTCTATAAATTCCCGCCAGTGTAAAACATAACATCGAGTGCGAGTCATTGGATGATGTAGCAAGATATCGTTCTCGCTTCACGGTCGGGGTAGAGCGTATCATTACACCTAATAAAGAGGGTAGTGTCCTAGGCTCTGGAGAAGGAAAGGATAATCAGCACAGACCGAGTGAGGCTTCTTTTGGTTTACACGGTAATATTCGACATTTCCTAATAATATGCACATCGTCATATTTGACTATATTCTCCTCTCAGATGATTGATCTTCGGCATCTGCAATATGTGTTATCGTTTCAGAGAGATTGATCTTCGATATAATTTATATACTGTGCGTTCTACTTTCACAGAGATTGATCTTCGATATAATTTATATACTGTGCGTTCTACTTTCAGAGAGATTGACCTTCGATATATACAATACGCATTCTACTTTCAGAGAGATTGACCTTCGATATCCACATCAGGCGACATTTCGAGTCTCCGCTCACGAAGATGCTAAAATCCGAGACCGAGTCATCCACCCACGTAGTTGGCGGTCTAGACGAGTCGAACACGAACGTTATGGATAGTGACAACGAAGGTGGCCGAGGAACAGAAGACGAAAGTTCCGATTGCGGCGATAACGCAGGTGACCGAGGAACAGAAGACGAAAGTTCCGATTGTGAGATCGAGATCGAACCATGCACCCGTTTCCTCAGAAATCGCACGAGATCTGAAAAACAGCAAGAATCCAAACGCGAGACCGCGCCACCCTCCCGTGGCTTCGTATTTAGCTCGCAGAACAGAGCACCGCTCGAGACCGCAAGAGGGGTTTTCGATATTTCTAAAACTAAAAAGACAGCGAACCTAATAATATCTAACGGTATAGGGACACCTAACGGCGCATTACAGAACGGACCCCTGGTCTCTGGCTCATACTACACCATCTGCGCACAACATCGACAACCGCATCGTCTCGTTGTGTTCCAGGACAAAGACATGTCGGTAGTCGTTAAAGATCTTCTAAGGAATAATACTTTACCACAAATTAATCCGGACGCATACAACTCGAGATTACATTACACTGAACTGAGTGATCAACTGGCCCTAATCGAAGATCGGTATAGGGATGTGGTGGCAAAAAAGAACAGCCTAGAGGGACAGGTAAAGATTCTCGAAACGCATATCGAGACTCTGAAACAGATGAACCGTTCTATAAAACAATAACGGGGTAAGATATCGTATAAATAGTGTTACCCCCGTATTATTGTGCATGGTGTATTTATTTACCTAGACAGTATTCTTATTGATCTTCTTATTTGTCGTGTTTCTAGTGTAGCAGTGTTGACCGCCAGGTCAATATAACATATATGGTGTATCAATACATATGTCCTAGTCTTATTTTTATCCTCACATATGATTGTTATGTGCGTGTGTTAATATTAATAGTATAGTGTGTGTTTTATGAAAACAACTCTGCGTTCTCTATGTTTCATGCTATCGACTTGAGATAGACATCCCTATATGTGTATATATGATTATAACGAAATAAAAATATCGAGAAAAATGGTTGTTTCATAATATCCATAATTGATAGTATTCCTTTCTTATGTCGTCCCTCACCGTATTTATATGATGAAATAGGGGATGTAATAAAAACCGTTATAATAATGTAACATATTTATATTATACGATACGCATCACAGCAAGATCGGTTTAATAACGTGGCCAATCGATCCCCGACAAATGGGACACTTTGACTGGGTTAACAGACAATCAGTACAACACACCATATGATTACAGGGAAGAATAACCACATCTATTTCGGCATCCATGCAGATCTTACAGAGATGCCTCTCGTCTTTATTGATGCTCTTGTTCGGTTCACCTGAAATAACAAAGAGAAGAGAAATATTAATACACATTTCCATACACACATATGTTTGTATGTGCGTATAGAATATATAAATACAGACAAAATACGAAAAAATGAAATAGTGTAGATAGAAAAAGATATACGAATACTCATTATGTCTGACAAACGATAATAAGTCTATCTATACCGTCATACTACCTTCTTCTATTCCAATCGATCGTGAAAGTTTCGATTCGGCTTCTTCGTCTCGATTATTGAACTGTCTGTGTTGTATATCAGGTTCTCCTCTCGTAATACTGTTAAAATTTTGATAGGGTACAACTCTTCTGCTATTAGCATTTGATAATATGTATAAGCGTGTATGGAACATTAAATCACGTCCGTTCGTATGTACAGTTGGTACTGGTGCGATTGTAATCCCTATCGCACTTTGATTTTCGAGTTCGCTCACGACAATATCTTCTTCTTCTACTTCTAGTTCTTCTTCTTCTTCTACTTCTAGTTCTTCTTCTCCATCTGCTGCTGCTGCTGATGCTTCTGCTTCTCCTACTGAATCTAGTGCATTTGTTATGTCTCCCCTATCCACATTAGAGGCTGACGTATTTGTCTTTTTTTTTGTTGTTTGTCGAATCAGATATCCCCATACCGCAGCTAGGGATGCGCTCTGTCCTTGGTTTAGAATAGAACCTATTCGAGAGGTAATTTCGTAAGAGTTAAGTCTGTCCAGTGTCATGCGATACTCGCTCTCGATATGATAGCCGGTGTATGTGCGATCGGGATACGGAAGATTAAAGGAAATTTCATGACGATACATCGGGATATTGGGGTCTCCGCTATCGTTAAAGGCTGACTGCTTATACAGGTAAACCGAATTCTCGATACGATCGGTAGGATAGGAACGATCGTAGCTCTTTCCCATAACCATTTGTATAAATCGCATCACAGCGTACACTGTTCGATAATTTGCAATACGTTCTGCTGTCAATAGTTTATTGTTATTTTTTTCCTCGTACGATTCGATTTTTTTCCGTACAGCTGAAGTACAGTCGACCTCTCTGGAAAAGGGCATGCCGGTCTGTAGAATTTGCTCGCAGAGCGCATCTCGAACGGCAACGACGGGAAACCCCTGCACCGATATCAAGCGTTTGGTATAGTCCAAACCCAGGAGGATGTTCCAATCATGTTCCGATGCATCTTGACTGGTGCCGGAACTGTGTCTCCACATCGGCATACGACATGCTTCTAATCTGACCTAGAAAGATAGAAAAATAATCATTTCGTTAATGAGTAAAGATTATCTGATATGCTACTTAAAACCAATAAGTCGATGAGTGACGGTCTCGAATATATACGGTGAGGGTCAAAGCTGAATGTTTCTATTTAAACTAGAATTATAAGATCGTATAGTATACCTTGTCGATGAATTCTTTTCCCTTCTTTAATTGAACGTAATGGCATTCGGGATACCACTCGGCGTGCATTTTCCAAGGATCGTCATCTTCCTCCCAGTTGCGAAGACAAGCACCGCAGTGAAAGCATTGAACGTGATCGCTAATTCCTAAAACCGAATGATGATTTGTCTATGTTAATATAAACGACCCTATTATACCAATATGTGTCATCTAAGGCTCATGAACAGTAACGGAGGCGATATGTTTGAACTTACCAAGATGATAGAATCCGGCCTCTACTAACGCCTCTATTTTTTGACGATGACGACGAGGCCAACTTAAAAAGCTCTCCAGCCGCGATTGGGTCGTTTTATAATAATCGTGCACCGGACCGGCGTATTCGTATCGAGTCTTTATCAAATCTTCCTGGTCGACTGTCGCTGTCGCTGTAGCTGTTGCTGTTGCTGATGTTACTGCAACTCTCGTCTGATTTACAATACTACTGAGAATATTACTCATGCGTATGGGTACATCGCCTACTGGCTTACCCTGTGCAAACTTACAGTTAGGACTTTTCTTTAAATGCACATCTCTTATAACGATAGGTTTATCGTAAGAAAAATTCATGTATTCGTGACAGCTAAAACAGATGCAGCGGGTTGTGTCTCTCGTGTAGAAAAATCCAGCAGCGGCCAAGTCTTTTGCTTGTACCACTTTGTTTGGCCAATCTATGAATGTTTCTAATCTCTTTATTTCGTATCTTAAATCGGCTGGTAACCCAGTCGCTGGATCGAAACGATTTTCAAAGATCTTTGATCTTGGAAGAGGAGGTAGATTTCGTGCGAGGAGACAAAGCGGATTCTTATCCTTATGGATCTTCACAATATCGTCCCATGGCATGATGGTGTCTATGTCGATATATAGATGACAGTCAACACAGACTATGTATTGTTTAGTCGATAGACCGCATCTCATAAAACCAGCCTTTGCGAGTATCTTTGGGCTAATAACATATGAGGACAACTCGTGTCCAAATGTCATTCTGCGATTATGTTCGCTTGTCATACCACTAAAATCGACATGATATTGATATTGATCGTCGATGTGTAATGGAATATCTTGCGACATGACAGTATAGTGAACAGACATAACGTCAGGTCATATGACCGTTTATAGGCAAGGTTGAAAAGAAATATATACGCATTTATACACCTAGAACTGTTTTATATTCGAATTATAAATCGTACACCTAATCGATTACAAGGAAACTACACGTTTACAATAGAATATTATAGATAAAACGATAGTGGTATTCTCAGTTACAATATGTTATTTTTCTCTCCGTATCGTTATTCTCGTGTATACGTACCACAATCTTTATATTATCGTATAGTGACATTGCGTGATCTTTCTTTTTTTTACAAATAGGGTTCGAGAGTATATTTAATCTTCTTTCTACAAATAGGACACCTCGTTTGAGTTACTATACAATTACCACAACATGACATATGACGACAGGGGAGAGTGACCGTCCTTACGCAAGAGTTCATACAAATCTTGCATAAGTATCGATCGCCAGTCACACTGTCAGGAGCCTCTGTAAATAAGGAAAGTTATATGTACAGAATATAACATATATATAAAGATATGTATAGATTATTTTATTTCCAAAAATATAGATATTTTACATTACAACGTAGGATCTTACCTCTTATTTCAGAATTTCTCTCTTCATCTTCCTGACGTTGGTGGTGTTTCCTAATCACACTGAATACATCATGGGGATCTTTATCATCATCATCATAATCATCATCATCATTATTATTACTATTATTATTATTGTTATTGTTATTATTATTATTATTATTATTATTATTATTATTATTACTACTACTATTAATACTGCTGCCACTATTCCTATTGTTGTTTGCGATTACTATAGAAAGCCGAATCAAGTGATTCCATATATCAAAGAGAGAGATGCTATCCCTCTCACCGAAATATAAACTCGTGACATGAACAGGTAGCCCTCTATTAAGCTGCTCTAACGCTAGACGATATTCCTGCTGAAATCTAAAATCGCTATTATGAGATGGATGCGGAATAGTGAACGATAATCGATATTGATACATCGGCGTTGCGACAGGGTTATATGAAGGTTGTCTGAACAGAAATAATGACTGATCCGGTTTGAATAAATCAATAGAGCCGTTCCGATCTACATCTTGATTCACGATGAATATTCTCTTAAGGTCCATCAAAAAATACATCACAGAATATACCGCATGGTAATTTTGAATATATTCCGTGCTCATACGGCTGATCTTTTTTGCTAAGGTTATATCCATATTACCGTATGCTACGATTTTCTCTCTCGCGTAATAAAGACCTTCCTGTTTGGTAATAAATGGGATTTTATGAACTAGAATCCGTTCTCGAATACAATCTCTGACGGCAGCAACTGGAAAGAGTGACATCAGCAAATCTTTGGTGATATCCAGACCCATAACAGCATTCCAATCTTCGTCCGTTACAGAATAAGTTCTCTCAAGAGTAGGTTTTCTAAAAAGCGCACTCTTGACCATCTTCGCCTTGAAAGTAAAAGATTGATCAATATTAACACTCTACGATCAAATGACGCATATCGAAAATACGCATCTCGTATATATATATAACCGCATTATTGCAAGCTGGAAAGAACATGTTAGAATATCTGGAGCACACAATATCTTACCGTATCGATAAACGTTTGTCCCATTAAGGTTCGAACATAACGACACTCGGGATTCCACATAGCGTGTTGTGTCCATGGGTCATCACCCTTTTCCCAATTGCGGATACCGACACCGCAGTGGAAACAAATTACGTGGTCACCGTACCCTGAAAACGGAAGATTGGTATCGATAGTGATGCTTCGATCCGAAGATAAAAGTTATATATTTACTAAGCTTCACGACTGTCTAATTTGTCTAAAGAGGTTTACCCGAATAAAAGAATCCAGCAGCTATCAATCTTTTGGGGCGCATTATATCTCCCAGAGGCCAATCGCCATAGGTGTATTTGCGACTTCTTGGCGTTGCCAAATTTTCGTGCTCTGGTCCAGAATACGATTCGATGCCCATCTCCGACAACATGTCACCAACACTGATTCTCGAGGAACTGTCATTTTCCGACTCGCGTGAATCTCCACCGTCTTCTTCGCCACTAGCTTCACGGCTTCTTCCTTCGTTGTCACCGCAGCTGTTTTTTTCGTTATCTGTTTCTTGATGACCGATGATCTTACGTATAATCTTATCTATACGAATAGGTACATTACCGGTTACCTTTCTCATTGCAAAATCACAGTAGGCGCTAGTTAAATGTTTTTCTGTTATATATTGAGACATAGAAGCGTGTCGAGCACAGCAACCGTACCGTGTACACGGCTTAAACGATACGCGTGCCTTGCAACAGAAACAAATGCACTCAAAGTTCCTCCTCGAATAAAAAAAGCCAGCGGCGGCGAGATCCCTTGCTTCTATTACTTCGCCTACCGGCCAGTCTATAAAAGTTTCTAGTCTTTTCGCTTCGTATCTTAAATCAGATGCAACAACTAGTCTCGATCTCGGAAGTGAGGATAAATTCCGTGCGAATACACAACTCGGGCTCTTTGTCTGGTGAACTTCCACGATGTCATCGGTTTTTCCAATATCATCGATATCGATGCTTAAACCACATCTGAAGCAAATCAGTCTCTTATCTAGTTCATAGAAACCGGCTTTTGCCATTATTTTTGGATGGTGAACATATTGATCACAATCCCCATATGTGTTTGTTCGATGTGTCTCCTCGCACATACGGGTAAGATCACGATCAACTTCAGTCGCATTGTCAATGTTCCCTGGATCAGACATTTTGCTCTACGAATCGTGTAGTATAGACTGATGTTCGATTTATGATGTAGCTGCACGATACACGCGTTTATATAGTTTTGTGTGTGTGTATGCGTACTGTATAAAATCACATTATAGTATATCAGAATTTGTCTGTTGCCCCATCGAACCGATAAATTGATCACGATCCTTGAATCTACAGCAATACATATTCTATTCTTATGATTCGTCTTTATCGAGTCGTGTTTATCATAATCACGGAACGTGACCGTTTAAACTTACTTTGAGAGTTGGATATGTCTGAAAAAATGGACACGTTTCAAAATATGGACGTTTTAAAATATGGACATGTCTTAAAAGTGGACATATTTTAAAAGAGGACACACCTTACAAACTGGATATGTTTTAAAAGTGGACACAGCTAAGGCGTATTCTCTTTTAAAATATGTCCACTTTCAAGACATGTCCACTTTTAAGACATGTCCACTTTTAAGACATGTCCAGTTTATAAAGTGTGTCCACTTTTAAAACATGTCCACTTTTAAGACATGTCCAGTTGTTAAGGTGTGTCCACTTTTAAAACATGTCCACTTTTAAGACATGTCCAGTTTTTAAGGTGTGTCCACTTTTAAAACATGTCCACTTTTAAGACATGTCCAGCTTTTAAGGTGTGTCCAGTTTTTAAGGTGTGTCCAGTTTTTAAGGTGTGTCCAGTTTTTAAGGTGTGTCCACTTTTAAAACATGTCCACTTTTAAGACATGTCCAGCTTTTAAGGTGTGTCCAGTTTTTAAGGTGTGTCCAGTTTTAAAACATGTCCAGTTTTAAAACATGTCCAGTTTTAAAACATGTCCAGTTTTTAAGGTGTGTCCACTTTTAAAACATGTCCACTTTTAAGAAATGTCCACTTTTAAAACATATCCAGTTTGTAAAGTGTGTCCACTTTTAAAACATGTCCACTTTTAAAACATGTCCAGTTTTAAAACATGTCCAGTTTTAAAACATGTCCAGTTTTAAAACATGTCCACTTTTAAAACATGTCCAGTTTTTAAGATGCGTCCTCTTTTAAAAGTGGACACATCTTAAAAACTGGAATACGTATTTAGAAACACGGCCTAGCTATATAAACACCGACCGATAATATAAAGTTAGACTCGACTCTCTCCTCCTCCTCCGGTTCCTGTACTTTTAAGTGTAGTGTAAGTAATTTTTTTTTAAATCGGAAGATCGGGAGAATATATCTAATTCGTCCATAAGAAATGTTCTCATAGCCAGTGCCAGATCAATGTAACCGAAGACGATGGATATATCACATCCTAACAGTTTTCTGCAGCAGGAAGAGTATCGGTTAACCACGTTCAGCGAACATGAGATATCTCCCATCGATACCACTATAGTGTACAGGGACATGCCGTTTGTCGGCTACGATTGTCTGAGATACGAAGAAAAGCGATTGGGAACCTTCATCGACTGGCCTCATGAATGGCTGAAACCGTCAGAATTGGCGGCCGACGGATTTTATTATCTCAGGAAAGATGATCACTGTGCGTGTATCTTCTGCAGAGGGATAGTTGGAGCCTGGGAAAAAACTGACACGCCAAGAGGAGAACATCAACGCCATTTTCCCCATTGTCCCTTTATTAGGGGTCAGCCAACTGGAAATGTTCCCATTGTTCAAGGCAACATCTTAGCCAGGTTACCGGTACTGCATCCGAGTCTGGACGATTGCGGATCAAGACGTGTTGAGGCCGACGCTTGCAGATTTTCGTCAAGACATATGGCCGGATCGTATCCCGAATGCAGTGAGTAGTTTGGTATCTTTTATCGCTGATTAGTATTTATGAACACTGTACATAACTCTTTACCCGTGAGCTCAGTCCAGATTTATTCCCTGCTATCGCTTCGTCTCACAGGAGGATCTCCGGACGAAACTGGTCTCTACCAGCATTCTAGACCGATGCGAAGTGATTTCACGACACTCGATAGCCGATTGAAGAGCTATGTCGAAGAATGGCCCATCCTCGGTCTGCGTGCACAAGATCTTGCCGAAGCTGGATTTTTCTACTGTGGTATAACGTTTTATATATATATGTATATGCGTTTACGTGTATCGGTAATAGTAGATTCATTACAGGTGTTAAATATTGATAACAACATCAGCTTATTAAGATCTCTGGAATTGATTGCGTTTACTCTATCAAGAGAAGCATTAAATACTTTTGCAAAAGAAACACAGTTACCGTTATTATATACGTAGGTCTGAGTGATCATGTTCGCTGTTTCCACTGCGGTAAGGGTCTTCGCAATTGGATATCTAGCGACATACCTTGGAAGGAACACGCTAGATGGTATCCTAAATGCAGATTTGTCTTATTGAAGAAAGGCCAGGACTATATCAATGAAGTATGTATACGCCTCTTAATTGTATTACATTTTGCTGGATATTTTTATTAATTGTTGTTTTATTATCGTTATTGATAGATTGCCATTACTATGATGTCAACACCGTTATAATTTCTTTTAGGTCCAGCGAGAATATTCACCGTACACCCGCACAGCGAGTGCTGTATATTCGGGTATCGATAAGGCTGCTTCCGGTAGCAGTAATAATCCAACGGAGGCGCAATCCGTATCCGAACAAGAATTGGATCTGTTGATGAGTTTGGATGTCGTCAGGTGTGTACTGGAAATGGGATATCCTAGTTGTATAGTCAGGGCCTGCCTTAAAGATCGGGTTGAACAAACCGGCGAACCGTATTTCGTTATAGAGCCTTGCCTTGAAGATGTTATACAGAGAATGAGCGTAACAGAGAATCGGGTCGCAGATAATCGTTCTGAGAGTACAGAGCGTGAGCCGTCATATGGTGAGGCCGATATTCCATCTTCGATATTTCAACAAGCGCCGATATTCCCATCTACGTCTAAAACCATGGGGAATCGGGTTACAAATATTCAACCGCTTCCATTCGAATCTACCGAGGTTGAACCATTATCTCAACAACAACAGGCTCCTATATTTCCATCTACATCCGATGTAATACGACAGCAGGCTTCTATATTCCCTATTGCGCCTCTGACTACAACGTTATCGTCATCATTTGAACGAGAATATACAAAAACTGAAGCAAACCATATTTTGCAAATAGTAGAAGATATCATATCACAGACTAGTGAAGAAGAGAAGGAGGGATATGAAGAAAAGGAGGGATGTGAAGAAAAAGAAGAATTCGAGTCAAGACAATCTTGTAAGTATAATCTATATTATGATCGATTATTTAAATTTTACCATCATAGATGAACGTATTGTTACTATTATTATTTTTGTTGCTGTTATTAGTTATTATCATTCTTATTATCATTATTATCAAAAATTAACACGTGTATTTATCATCTTTCCATTTTAGACGAACAGATGAAAGAAGAACTCGAACGGATGCGTGAAGATCGCACATGTAAAGTGTGCATGGACAGTGAAATAGCTATAGTGTTTCTTCCGTGCTCGCATATGGTTACGTGCGTTTCCTGTGCTGTATCCCTGAGACAGTGCCCCATCTGTAGAAGAGACATCAAGCACGTATGCAGAGCTATTGTATCCTAATAATATTCACACATAACGTGATACTCAGACACATATACACGCGTAATAATATATACGCGATAAGCATGTATATAAACTCTTAGCAATAAATAACAACGATGATCATACACAAGATAATAAATATTATTACCTGACAGTGAGAGAAGGCGGAAAGATATACTATTCGTCTATGGTGAGAACACTAAGTCGAATAAAAATAATATCACGATATACGTGAATACAATTTTAATAACAACGATGACTGTATGAGACAACGAAAAACATTACCTGACAGTGAGAGAAGGCGAAAAGATATATCATTCGTCTATGGTGAGAATACTAAGTTGAATAAAAAAATATCACGATAAACGTGAATACAATTTTAATAAACAAAATATCACGATAAACGCGAATACAATTTTAATAACAACGATGACTATATGAGACAACGAAAAACATTACCTGACAGTGAGAGAAGGCGGAAAGATACACTATTCGTCTATGGTGAGAACACTAAGTCGAATAAAAAAATATCACGATAAACGTGAATACAATTTTAATAACAACGATGACTATATGAGACACCGAAAAACATTACCTGACAATGAGAGAATATGGAAAGATATACTATTCATCAATGGTGGGATTACTGAACGCACTGACAGAAGCCGGTTATCCGATATCGACACGTGATCTTTCTGACAGAGACGGCATTAAATCGTCGTACAGAGACGATGGCGTAGTAATAACCCATGCGTCTGAAGAAGCTCTCTGTTTAACGTTATACTGCGCACTGGGATTATTGATGGAAAAGGGAATATCCGTAAATCTGAAGAGATCTAATGCTGCAGAATATCTGTTACATTTCCCTACAGTGAAAGTCGAAGTCAGACCAAACTGTGAAACCAATACCATCGTGAGAGGGAGAATACAAAGAAACGACGATCGCGTCGCTATTGGCGATGAACCTTTAAATACTAGCGACATCTATAACGGCGGAAAGGCGTATGCGCATCAAAGTAGAGCGCTATATTCTCACAGCAGCGGTCATTTGAAAACCGTCATCATCGAAAGTAAAGGACGAGGACAATCAGCGAACGATACTCTTTCGACTGTTCTATATGTAGATTCCTATGACAGAAGTCGGTTACCTGATATCATCGAGGACATAGCAAAATATCCTCTGAAGTTTTTCAGAGCTATAATACTGAGAGGTAAGCTACTCTAATTACAATAATGTACGACTACATTGATTATAAGCTCCTGTTTTTTGGTGAAGATGTCATTCACCGCATACAGCAGATACGGAGACAAGCGTTCTTTGTCACTAACGGTATAAGAAGAGTACAGGAACATGACAATTTGCTATTTTCAAAAAAGAGGATATATACCGTGAACAATGTCATGGAACTAGCATCGTGTACTGCAAGTGACGATGATGCTGATG